CAGGCAGAGAGAGAGAGGAAAGGAAGCAGGCTCCCCACTAAGCAGAGAACCCGATGGGGGCTCGATCCCAGGACCCTGGGATCATGACCTGAGCTGAAGGCAGAGGCTTTAACCCACTGAGCCACCCAGGCGCCCGGAGGGTTCCATTCTTGACTGCTGCAGGAACCAGAATGTCACCTGCTCCTGCCCTACCTTTCATCTCTCAGGGCAGCTGGCTGCTAGTGTGCACGGTGATGAGGAAGCTGGCACCGCGGGCCATACCTCGGGTGGCCAGCCTTGACATGTAGGATAGGGAGAGGGAGTAGCCCAAGTGCCCAGAGCAAATCACCTGGCACCTGGGACCTCCTGGTTTAACCACATGGCAATGGAATGGTGACACTTACACGGAGCTCTCTAATAACAAAACTACAACAACTTAACGAGTTCGATGTCTCTTGTTCAAGGGAAAACCATCCGTGGATTCTGCGTGTCTAGCGTCTCACAGTACTGGAACATTATTTTCAAGGGATTGGGGGCCCCGATGAATGAATGAACTTTATCATGGCCTACCTTGTTTGAGCTACTGTTTTCAGCTTTTCGCATATGTTCACTCATTTACAGCTCATGACCCCTGTGAGGCGGGTGCTGTTGCTGCTGTGTTTGTACCTGTCTCGGGACAGCATAGGAGGAATAGTGTGGCTGGATACCGGCTTGCTCTGCAGTCCTTGTACTTCACTGGTGCCCTCTCCCACTTACTCTCCATGATGATAAAATCATCATAATAAAGCCACTGACCAGGTAGGGTGGATTTGAGGGTCTTTGGAAGGAGAGGAAATATCCTTAGGTGGTGGCAGTGGAGGGAACTTAAGCACGTGACCAGTATTTCTGATGCCTAAGCCAGCCTCCCCATTGACACCGAATCACTACAGCCTTGCTGCTGAACCCCAGTCTGCATTCCAAGGGAGAAGCAGGCCAGTCAAGGCCAGTCAAGGGAGACAATGGCCCCAGAAACTCCAGGGTGTGGGCTTTATAGCAATTTTTTAAAAAGATTTTATTTATTTATTTGACAGAGAGAGAGAGAGAGAGAGATCACAACTAGGCAGAGAAGCAGGCAGAGAGAGAAAGAGGAAGCAGGCTCCCTGCTGAGCAGAGAGCCCGATGCGGGGCTCGATGCAGGGCTCGATCCCAGGACCCTGAGATCATGACCTGAGCTGAAGGCAAAGGCTTAACCCACTGAGCCACCCAGGTGCCCCTATAGCAATTTTTTTTTGTGGTGGATCCTAGGGTCGTCTCATTTGAGTGACAGGCCTGGATTATATAATAACCGGCCAACTAAACCTGTCCTTTCCTGCATTCAAAATGCCTACATGGGGGCGCCTAGGTGGCTCTTTTCTCTAAATAAATAAATGAATAAAATCTTAACAACAACCCCCTCAAGCCCGCAAATGCGTGCACCCTAGGAAACCTCAACAGGATTTCTGTTCTAGAGACACAGGTCACATAAGGACAAGCAGCTGCTTTTGCACAAGGGCAATCAGCACACCACACTTAACTCTTCCTCTTCTGGGTTGTAACCACAGACAAACTGCTGGATATTTGGGAGGGGGTGGGCCCTGGGTGGGCCTGGGTTGCAGTGGGACACCTGGTCAGGACACCTGAGGTCCATCCTCCCATTGCTCATGCCTAACCTCTAGCAGGAGCTGTGGATTTCCTGGCTTGAGACCGTCAGGCACTATTGGAGTTTTCCTTCTGGTCCCTAAGGAGGCCACATTTGGACTCAGAGTCAGGGATAACCCCCTGGCACGGTGCTAGGCCCTGCTGAGTACACTGAGGGACTTGAAGGCGTTTTGCTTGCCCGGCAGGAATTTATAATCACATTACTTCGTCTTACAACACAGGATAATTAGACGAGTTTGCCTTCACTGAATATTGAATTCTGTAGTTCTGCTTGGACTGGTGCAGCCGGCCCTTGAGCTGTGGCAGACCCTCACTGCCCTGTGACGGTCAACAGACACCTACCCTCCAGCTCAGCTATTCTTTGAGGGATTTAGCCACGGAAATGAAAGCACATGACCACAAAATCCTAGTACGTTAGGGGCACCTCAGTAGAGCGTGTGAATCTTGAACTTGGGGTCAGGAATTTAAGCCTACATTGGGTATAGAGATTGCTTAAATAAAGAATCTTTTTAAAATTTTCTTTCAAAAATCCTGGTATAAATATTCATAGCACCTTTATCCATAACAGCTAAAAGTTGGAGACAGCCCTGATGGATAACAACTGGTGAGTGGAATAAACACATAGTAGTACAGTAGTATCTCCTACAGTGAGGTACAACTCAGTAAGGGATGACACAATGGTATGTTACAACACGGATCCATCTCCCAAAATTCTGGTGAGTGAAAGAACACACAAAACAGTCCATACAGTATAGATTATCCCCTTCATATGACGTGCTAGAAAAGACAACCCTAACTGATAGTGGCAGAAAGCACGTCCTCAGTAGTGGCCTGACACATGGGTTGGAGGAGACAGAGTTGGAAGTTAATGAAAAGTAAACTTTAGATGTGATGAGAACGTTCAGTATTGTAAGTGTGGCCATTTCATATGTGTATGCATTTGTAAAACTCACCTATACATTTAAAAAAGTATTTTGGGGCATCGGGCTGGCTTAGACAGTAGAACATCTGAATCTTGATCTCCAGGTTGTGAATTTGAGCCCCACGCTGGGTGTAGAGATTACTTTTAAGAATTAGGAGCATTTGGGGTGCCTGGGTGGCTCAGTGGGTTAAAGCCTCTGCCTTCGCTCAGGTCATGGTCTCAGGGTCCTGGGATCGGGCCCCGCATCGGGCTCCTTGCTCAGTGGAGAGCCTGCTTCTCTCTCTGCCTCTGCCTGCCTCTCTGCCTGCTTGTGCTCTCCGTCTGTTAAGTAAATAAATAAATACAATCTTTAAAAAAAAAAAAAAAGAAGTTAACAGGGTGCATGGAGCACTGGGTGTAGTGCATAAACAATGAATTTTCGAACACTGAAAAGAAATTAAAAAATAAATAAATAATTTTTAAAAAGATAAAAAAATTAAAAATAAAGAAGAAGTTAACAGGGGCCGGGGCAAGGGGGAATGGAGAGTTATTGTTTAATGGGCAAAGTTGCTGCTCAGGTGATAGAAAACTTTTGGAAATAGGTAGTGGTGATGGTTTTACAACATTATGAATGCAATTAATGTCATGGGACTGTACACTTAAAAATGGTTAAAATGAAAACTACTGTGTTTTAACTACTGTGTTTTAAATACACTACTGCATATTTAACTACAATTTTTAGTGTAGTAGTAATTACAATCTGAAATTACTCCCCCCCCCAAAAAAAAAACCTGTTTTAGATTCCTCTGCTATCTGAAAATTAAGTGTCAGTGAAAAAACACATTTTTGTGGAAAAAGAAAGTCAAAAGAGGAGATAGGAGATGGAGCAACAGAAGCAAGAGGTTGGAGTGATGTGAGGAAAGGAAGTCAAGCGCCAAGGAATGAAGGCTCCCTCAACAAGCTGGAAAAGGTAATGAACAGATTTTCTCCTAGAGCCTCAAAAGAAACCAGCTATGGTAACACCTTGATTTTTGCCCATCTAAATTAATTTCATCTGGCCTCCAGAATTGGAAGAGTAAAAAAAAAAAAATTGGAAGAGTAAACTTCTGTCGTTTTAAGCCAGTCGGTTGGTTTATGGTAATTTATTACAGCAGCAATGAGAAACTAGCACAATCCGGGGCGCCTGGGTGGCTCAGTGGGTTAAAGCCTCTGCCTTCGGCTCAGGTAATGATCCCAGGGTCCTGGGATCGAGCCCCACATCCAGCTCTCTGCTCAGCAGGGAGCCTGCTTCCTCCCCTCTCTCTGCCTACTTGTGATCTCTCTCTGTCAAATAAATAAATAAAATCTTAAAAAAAAAAAAAAAAAGAAACTAGCACAATCCCTGCATAGCTCACATATCCTAAAATGCAGGATTTTAGGGGCGCCTGGGTGGCTCAGTGGGTTAAGCCTCTGCCTTCGGCTTGTGTCATGATCCCAGGGTCCTGGGATCGAGCCCCGCATCGGGCTCTCTGCTCAACGGGAAGCCTGCTTCCCCTCCTCTCTCTCTCTCTGCCTGCCTCTCTGCCTACTTGTGATCGCTCTCTGTCGAATAAATAAATAAAATATTTTAAAAAATAAACAAATAAAATGCAGGATTTTAGAGGTGGGCAGGCACTTGTCCGCTCTGGGGATTTGGAGCCCTAGTGTTACCAGCTTTCCACCCCGTTTGGCACTCCTGTCACTAGCACTGAGGCCCAAGGGAATCCCATTTGCGGACAGGTTAGTGGACATCTTTGGGGTCATTATATTCTGCCTACCACAGTACAAGAATATACTTTTTTAAAAATTTTGAACACTGCCTATATGGCTACTTGCAAAGTCAGAATGAGGGCGTTTTATTCTTTGATAGATGTCAACAATGATTCTCGAAAGACGTGTTTCCAACTTGCCCTCCCCTGGCAGTGCTATGAGAGCCCTGGGATGATGATGATGATGATGATAAGGATAACAACAGCTGTCTTGTCTGTTTAGTAGTGTTATCCTTACAAATAGAAGTTACTTTACCAGCAAAAATGGGCTTATTTGGGAATAGGAGAGAATTACAATTCTGGACATGCAAGATACAGCAAAACTGTAGGAAAATGTAACAAAGGAGAAGAACGTTATTGTACGGAGAGGACGAAGGGGGTTAGAAGGGGCTGTTCTGAAGGAAAGTCCAGCGGAGAAGAGTTCAGGGTGACGATGGGCTCTCGCCGGCTGAGGCGCAGGGCCCACTCACTGCTGTGGGAGATGCAGTGCGCGTCTTTTCCGTCGGGGCCTGTAGCTGAGGATTCTTGGCTGCTGAAGCTTCTTCTGTCGGTAATTCTTGACTCGCAGCCGTACCAAGCGAGAGCTCGCCCTTTCACACTTTAGTGGGGCTCCCTTTCCTGGGTTTCACAGCACTATGTGCCTGGCCTGTGCTAAATACTTCTCCTGTCACTTCTCGCGAGGAAAGGTGCAGCAGTGACCAAATCTCGTCACCGGATTTCGAGTTAGAGCTGTTTCTGGGAGCGCGTCCGAATCCCCGAGGGACTGTCCAGGCACGGAATGTTCAGGCTCGTCCCAGAAGGTTCTGACCGGGGAAATGCAGAAGTGAAGCTGCGCCCCAGGGGCCCCCTCCGGGCTGGTCCTCCCTCCAGAGTGCGGGCCCTGCGTCTCTGCGGGAGGAACCCGGGGTAGCCCCGTCAGAGCAAGCGTAAGCACAGCCGGGGTAGCCCCGTCAGAGCGAGCGTAAGCACAGCACTGCCACTCCGCACCGCGGGCTCCCCTTCCCAGCAGCCCTTGCGTGTCCACTCGGGCGTCGCCAAGCCGAACGCGCGGGCTCCCTACGCGAGGCCTGCGCGCGGCAGAAACTACAACGACCAGAAGGCCACGGGGACGGCGGCGACCCGCCACCAATCCCAGCCCCGAAGCGGGGCTATATCCTGCGGCTCGCCGGGCTTCCGGCGTCTCCCTCGAGCACGTTCGTCTTGCCCTTTCCCCGTCCTCGGGGAGTTGACCTCCCGCAGGCGCCTCCTTGGGACCCAGCCGTGGGGTGCGGGGTGGCGGGGCGGGAAGGCTGGGATGAGCTGCCCCGTTCCGTCCCAACCGTGATCTCCGGTAACGGGGCTGTCCTCTTCCCTCCGCGCTCGCCCGCCGTCCCCTCTGACTGAGGCCCCGATTGCGACGGGCGGCGGGCGGGCACCCTGCCCGGCGGAGGTGTGGGCCTCAGCTGCGCACTCAAGGCCTGCCCGGGTCCCATGGCGGCGGCGGCGCTGGTGGACCTGGCGCGGGTGAGTGGGGTCCACGGTAGAAGGGAGTGGGGAGTCCCTGGACCCTTCCTCCACCTTCACTTTTGCTTCGCTGCTGCGACCCTCATATCACCCCAAGCCTGAGGTCCTGAGTCCCGGCCGGAGTTGCTGTGGGAATTTTCACGATTCTGGAATCCAGTGGGACAAGATCTGGAAAGCTGTTTCAGGCACAGGGACCGGGATGTGCAAATGCTCAGAGACGAGACTGAGCTGGGAGTATTCGGGGAACCACAGGCCTCCGTTATTTATATCCGGTGGGCCGGAGTCAGGCCTGGACATGGCAGCCTGGGGAGCTTGGCCTGAAGGTTGTGGGAGCCACGGAAGGTTTGGAGTAGAGATGTTCACAGGCTCCCTTTGGCTGCAGAGTGGAAAACAGAGGTAGGGTGGGGCAGGAGGTGAAGTTGAGGGGGCAGAAAGGGAGGCTCATAAGGATGCTCTTTTACTAGATTAGGTGGGTGATGGTGTCAATCCAGGTCCAACCTGGAGTTGGGAGAAATGGTTGGATTTTGGATCTTTCACGTCAGCCAGACTTTGTGATGTGCAGAGAAGTGGAGGAGCCTGGGCTAGCTTGGCAGGTCTAAGTTAGTTACGCTGAGGAATTCAGCTTGGAGACATCCAGTCAGCCTGTGAGCTGCAGTGGAGCTCTGGCTCACATTTGAGAGGGGGCATCTTTAGCTTTTGGTGAAGATGTCCTACAAGGGCATCTGAGGACTGGGTGGCTGGCCTGGGTACTGGGCGGGGTCGGTGGATGTCACAAAGTCAGATGAAGGGAGGAGGAGCCACAAGAGAAGGTGTGTGTGAGAGGGGGTCCAGAAAGTGACCAAGATCCCTGGGACAGAGGCTAAGGCATATTGGAGACGCAAGTAACATGACAGTGGAACTGGGACTCGTGTTTAGTCAGCTCTCTGTGGGCTCACAGGCATTTCTTGGCCACCCTCTGTGGGGTCTGAGTGTTTCAGTCAGGATGACAGGTTAGTTCAGTGGCAGTAGGCTGAGTGTCCTAGGCTTGGGGGGGGTGCGTCAGAAGGAAAGAGGAATACTGAGGCTGGTGAGGGGACAGCATGAATAAAGGCAGAGAGACCTGGAGGTCCCAGAAGTCTTTGTGGCCTAGTCTGGATGGCTAAGTGTTAAAGGTAGGAATAGGACCAGTTAGAGAAACTGAAGGAAAGCTGGGTGCCACCTCTGGAAGTGGGGACTTTTAGAAGTCTGGGTCAGGATGGGATCCTGGTTGACCTCACCAAGTTAGCCACATTTTGGACACCATTTGCAGAGTGATCTGTAGGGTTGCTGGGAGGAAGAATGGGCCATGGGATAGTGGTGGGGTCTGGAGATGTGTGGTACAAAGACGGACGTGCACATGCAGGGGCGTATGAATTGATGGACTGGAGTCCTGGTACTGGGGGCCTACGCGAGATGAGCCCCAGTTTCATTGTTCTGGGAGGCAGGATCTGGGGAGCCAGGAGAATCGTCTGGTAGGAGGCAGTGAGGCCCCACGACCAGGCTCAGACCTTGTGGCAACTATCTGCCCACCTCCCTGCTGTGTGAAGGAGGACACAGTGATCAGTGGGACACGAGGAGACAATAGCCCCCATGGCTTTGGAGCTCAGGGAGAAGGGTGACCTAGGAGTTTGTTGGCAGGGTTGATTTGGGAGTCAGAGACTACCCACGAGAAAGATGGCAGCATGTCGGGTCACGGGCTCAGGTCTGGATGGGTTCATCTGTGTTTTTTTTTGTAGTTTTCTTGCTGCCCTGTCCTCACCATGGCTGACTTAGCTGTCTTCACCATGACAGGACTGGGGGACCTTTGAGGACATGGCCATGTACTTCTTCCAGGAGGAGTGGGAGCTCCTTGATGAGACTCAGAGGCGCCTGTACCACAATGTGAGGCTGGAGACCTTGGCGCTTGTGGCCTCAATGGGTAAGGCCCTCTCACCCCAGCTTGCTGTTCTGGTCTCTGTCCTTCCTCTTCTCCCGGGAACAGCTCTGTGTTCTGACAGCTGAGCAGCTGGGCTATCTGCTGTGTGTGCAGAGCTGGGGCACAGGCACAGCCTGCTCCTTCCCCTGAGGAGCCCCAATATCTGCTTCCCTTCCTGCAGAAGGGCTCAGGACCGAGGGGCTCCGTCTGGTTGCCTGCGTTTGTCTAGATCAGTGGGACCTCTGTGCCTAGGTTCTTCCCCCCCCACTTTTTTATATCAGACATTTCCAGGAGCCGGGCTACGTCATGGACTATAGACATGGACATCGTCACTACCTGCCACTGGGCTCTTCCTAGGAGATGCTCCTCACAGGCTTATTTTGTAACACTGGGTTTTCTCCCTAGTTGCGGAGATGACGTGAGCTCCCTCTCGTCTATCACAGGGTAGGTTGCCCTTGGCTGGGCCAGACACTCACCCGCTCTGTCTTTTTCCCAGGACTTAGAACTTTCAGATCTTGCATGGTTGCTCACCTGGAACAGGACAGAGAGGGCTGGGAGCCTGACAGGGTGCACATAGCTCCATATACCACAGAAGAGGCTGGGAGGGGGTCTGGCTCTGATGAGTGGGAGCTGGAGCAGACATGACACTGGGGCTGGGTTCACACTGTACTACTTGCCCTGTATCCACTGGCCTTTGCTGCTGGGGCCAGTACCCGTACCTTACTCCATTTTCCTCCTTGTTTTAGACAATGCATTCTTGCCATTTCTACTTTGTCTGTGTACAGTGCTCTGATCTGTGTCTTCCTTATTCCCCTCCACTCCTCCTTTTACAGGGATGTCCCACCTTAGCCCACGGTCAGTGTATTATGAGATGTGCATATATCCTCATAGAGGCTTTAAGCACCAGATGCCTGGTTGCAGCTGGATTTTCCTGCGCTCGAGGAGACTCTGTGACCCCTGTTCCTGTCCGAGATCTGGGGCCTGCCTGTGTTGGGTCATGCTGAGAGCTGAGAGGTTGCAGTTCCTGCCTCTCCTCCCAGCCAGAACCCTCACGTGTGTTCTCATGTCCTGGATCTTCACCTTCAGTGCCTTTCCTGGGCCCTGTCCTGCACCACAAGCTCTACCTCCCCCTGACTTGATCCTGCAGACTCACTTCTAAATTTGTCAGATCCACATCTGGGAGGGGGCTGCCCCCTCCCAACAAAGCCCATATACACTTCGCCGGTATTTCTCTGCTTTCAGGTTGCTGGTGCGGAGTGGAGGAAGCCCCTCTTGAACAGGGTGTTTCTGTAGAAGGAGCGTACCATTTCAGGACCCCTAAGGCATATCCTTCTACCCTGAAGGCCAACACCTGTGACATGTGTGGCTTGGTCTCAAAAGACATTACACCTGGCTAAGCATCAGGGAAATCACCCTTCGCAGAAACCATACAAGTGTGAGGCATTTGGGAGAGGCTTCTGGCTCAGAATAAGCTCTCACCAGTTCCAGCAGGAGCCCAGTAGAGAAAAACGCTTCACAGGTAGCAAACGTGCTAAGGATGTCCTGGACGGCCTCGACCTCCTGCAGCACCGGGCCACCCACAGCATGTGGATACCACACAGGCACCAGGCACAAGGAGGCCTTCCAGCTGCCAGCAGCAGCAGAGAGGCCACACCGCACAGAAGTCCTTCAAGTGCAGCAGCTGTGGGAGCAGCTTTCTGAAGGCTCTCATGCTCCTAGATCATCTGCTCACTCATTCCAAAAAGAGACCCTGCAGATGCCCAGCACGGGGAAATGCCCCTGAAGAGCAGGCCACCATTGTTCATCACCCAAAAACCCCACTGGGGAGACATCCCATGTGTGTAAGGAATGTGGGAAGGCCTTCAGTCACCTTTTGAAACTGAGGACACATGAGAAAATTCCTACTGAAAAAGTGTATCACGGTTGCAGTGAGTGTGGGAAAGCCGTCACCCAGAAGTACACACTCGCTTGGCACCGGAGACTCCACTGAAGAATGGCCTTATGCCTGTGGCCACTGTGGGAAGACCTTCACTTGCAGCTTCAGTGTCGCTCGCCATCAGGAAGTTACGAAAAGAAAGGCCTTGTAAGTGCAGACCATGCCGGAGTCTCCAGCTGCATCGCCAGTTTTGTGGAGCACCAGAAAATACACACTGGGGCAAGGCCTTGTACGTGCAGTAAATGCGGGAAAGCCTTCATTAACAGTTCTCATCTTCATTGGCATCAGAAAGTTCACAACAAGGGCATCTGGGTGGCTCAGTGGGTTAAAGCCTCTGCCTTCAACACGGGTCATGATCCCAGGGTCCTGGGATAGAGCCTCGCATCAGGCTCTCCACTCAGCAGGGAGCCTGCTTCCCCCTTTCTCTGCCTGCCTCTCTGCCTACTTGTGATCTCTGTCAAACAGTGTGGGAAAGCCTTCAGCTGGCCCTCTAATCTTGTTGCACACCAGCGAATCCATAATGGAGAAAAGCCTTATGAATGTAACAAGTGTGGAAAAGTCTTTAATCAAAGCTTTGCCCTCATTCAGCTCCAGAAGGTTCATACCAGAGATAGGCCTTATGAGTGCAGTGAGTGTGAAAAAGCCTTCAGCTATAGCTCCAACCTTGTTACACACCAGATAGTTCACACTGGAAAGAGGCTTTCCAAGTGCAGCCAGTGTGGGAGAGCCTTCAGTACAAGATCCAACCTCAGTCGGCACCAGAGAGTTCACACTGAAGAAAAGTCTTATGCGTGTACTGTGTGGAAAAGCTTTCCGCTACAGGTCAGACCTCTCTCAGCACCAGAAAGGTCACCGGAAAAGAGCCATCTGAGTGCAGTGGACATAGGAATGCCTTCAGCCAGAGCCCCAGCCTCACTCAGCACCACAAGGTTTATACCAAAGAAAGGTCTAAGGAGTGTGGCAAATGTGGAAAACCACTAACTAACTGGGGCATTTTCTTTGTTCACCTTAAGAGCCCACATTGGGCTCTCTGCTCAGCGGGGAACCTGCTTCCCCCTCTCTCTCTGCCTGCCTCTCTGCCTACTTGTGATCTCGATCTGTCAAATAAATAAATAAAATCTTTTTTTTAAAAAAGAGTTCACTCCTGAGAAAACTTATGTGAAAGGAACCTTTGGGAAGAAGCCATAAGCCAAATATTGAAAAATATCCTAACACCCCTCCCAGGAGATCGCCAGATACCTGGGAAGCTTTCAGGAACTATATCACACTTTCTAATCTGTCCAGGTGCTTTGCCAGATTATGTCATATGCCAGATGGCATCTCACTTCTACAGGCTGGCGGGGCCCCCCACAGCCTGTCATCTCAGCATATTCAGGGAAGGCTGATTTTGTCCTCACTCATTCCCAGGAGGGAGACATGAGTGATGGGAGCTCTTTGGGGTGGCCTCATTTTCCATCTCTGCCCAGTGGTTCAAGCATGGACCTGACTGACCTCTTCTCTCCAGGACTTTCCAGAAATAGCTTCCCTCTTTTGTGGGTAATTTTTTTTTTTTAAAGATTTTATTTATTTGTCAGAGAGAGAGAGAAAGAGGTCACAAGTAGGCCGAGAGGCAGGCAGAGGCAGAGGGAGAAGCAGGCTCCCTGCCGAGCAAGGAGCCCAATGTGGGACTCGATCCCAGGACGCTGGGATCATGACCCGAGCAGAAGGCAGACGTTTAACCAACTGAGCCACCCAGGCGTCCCTTTTGTGGGTAATTTTTTTAAAAAGATTTATATATTTATTTGAAAGAGAGCAACCACAAATAGGGGAGGTAGCAGGGAGAGGGAAAGAAAGAATCGGGGCTTGATCCCAGGACCCTGGGATCATGACCTGAGCTGAAGACAGACGCTTAAATGACTGAGCCCCCCAGGCACCCTTTTGATATTGTCTACAGATGGTGCCTGCGATGGATCTGTCCAGTCTCCAAATCACCCAACCCTGGAACTGCCTGCCTCACTGTTGAAGCTGTCTTTAATTTCTATCCATTGTGTGTATGGTTGGGGGTGGGTGAGATGGAGAACAGAATGGGGCTCTAACAGGAGTAAGGCCCCTAATGTCCAAAATCTATAGACAGGTTGGTCACATCACCAGATGTAAGATCTCCAAGGGCCAGGCAGAACCGTAAGCGGGTACAGGAACACCGGTTTTGAGGTGAGGGGTCAGGGAGACTGGCAAACGAGACGCTATGCTTGAGCCACATCATACCCACTCAATTCCATGTTCACACGGATGGCTTCCAGTCAGCCACGGTAGAATTTATACCACAAAAAAAACGAACAAACAATAATCCTTTGAAAACAAAAAAACTGGGGGGAAAAAAAAACCCAGTTGACACTGTCTTTGGCCATAGGAGAGACCCAGCTCTGGAGATCTTAGAAGTCCTGTGTACTCTCATCTCCTCCTCTAGCATGCGTACAGTGACCCTTCACGATGGGCATACCCAGCATATGCTGCTCACTGCCAGAGCAGATAACCTAAAGGTGGTGTGGGTTCCTGTAGTCTCCCTGCGCTGGTCACTTCAGGGCCATCAGTGCACAGGCAGGAATGCTGGGACTGTAGTCCCGGACTTTGGCAGCTCGGCCAATATTCCAGGTCACTGTGTCCATGGCCGCCATCATCTGCTGTTTTTTGCTGCCCCTGAGATGAGGCTGTCCCTGGGTACAAAGATCAGAGATGATGGGATCAACATAGAGTTGCCCCCATTCTTGGGTTTTCCAAGAGTGAGAGATCCATATGTTTATGTGAAGCCTTTTGATTCTATAAATGTTGCAAACTTCTGAACAAAGTTTGTAAGTATATATGCGACCTCTCTATGTGGGCAACACGGAAGGGCTGCTTGGGGTTAGAGGGGAGTCCAGCAGAGCCAGTGGAGCTCAGGCCTGAAAGCAAAGTGGGGCAGACACTCATTATCAGAACGCAATCCCTTTTATCCTGAATGGTCATCTGTGTGGAGACCTTGTAAAATGAAGTCTTCTGGCAAAGAATCCTGATTCGGAGAAATGCCCTGACCTGAACCTGACTCTGCTCTCCCCATCAGGGCTCTGTGCAAGGCAGCTGGCCTGCTGTGCATGCGTGCGTGCGTGTGTGCATACACATGTGCCAGAACAACGAAAACAAACCCCTTGTGGCTCTGAGTGTCTAAACACTGGGGATACTAATGTTCATCTTGACGCTACAGGAAGATTGTCCTGTGAACCAGCCACAGAAGGAGGCAGTGTCGAGTGAGAGTCAGAAGCAGGCCTTCTGATCATTTGAGCCCCAGATCCATTTAGTGCCCGAAGCCAAATGCCAAGTGGACTTCTGGGTTCCATTAACCAAAATAGGCCAAGGCAATTCGATAAGGAAAAAGATAATCTTCTCAACCAATAGTGCTAGAACAACTGCAGAGCCAGATGGAAGAGCAAACCTCTAGGCTCACCCAAGTCATATGCAAAAGTCAACTCAAAGTTCATCACAGACACAAGCAATAAAACTTCCAGAAGAAAGCACACTGACCCTGGATTTGGTGGATTTCTGAAACATAACAAAAAACATGACAAGAAAAAAGATAAATCAATTGGACTGGATCAAAATTTTCAATTTTTGCTTTTCAGTAGTCACATCAAGGGGCACCTGGCTGGCTTGTTGGAAGAGCATGCAACTCTTGATCTCAGGGTTGTGAGTTCAAGCCCCACGTTGGGTGTAGAGATTACTTAAATAAATAAAAACTTAAAAAGATTAAGAGGCTTCGGGAAGCCTGGGTGGCTCAGCCCGTTGGGTCTCTGCCTTTGGCTAGGGTGGTGATCTTGGGGTCCTGGGATCGCCACCCCCCCACCCGCCCCACCCGCATTGGGCTCTCTGCTCAGCAGAGAGCCTGCTTCCTTTCCTCTCTCTCTCTCTCTCTGCCTCTCTGCCTACTTGTGATCTCTGTCTGTCAAATAAATAAACAAAATCTTAAAAAAAAAAGATTAAGAAGCTTCAATAGGCACATCAACAAAATGAAAATGCAATCCACACACTGGGAAAACTATCTGCAAAACAAATTCTGACAAAGGACCCGATCGAGAACATATGAAGAATTCACACAACCTAATAGGACAACCCAGTTTTGTTTTTTTTAAAGATTTTATTTATTTACCTGACAAAGAGAGAGACCACAAGTAGGCAGAGAGGCTGGCAGAGAGAGAGGGAGAAGCAGGCTCTCCGCTGAGCAGAGAGCCCAATGCGGGGCTCAATCCCAGGACCCTGAGATCACGACCCGAGCCGAAGGCAGAGGCTTAACCCACTGAGCCACCCGGGCACCCCAAGACAACCCAGTTTTTAAAAATGGGCAAAAGTGACTCGAACACTCACTTCACTAAAGAAGATATATGAATGGCAAATAAGCACATGCCTTCTATATAAAACATGTTACTATTTTTTTTTTAAGATTTTATTTTTAAGTAACCTGTATACCTAACCTGGAGCTTGAACTTCAAACCTCGAGGTCATGAGTTACATGCTCTACAGACTGAGCCAGCCAGGTGCCCCTAAAATGTGTTTTTATTAACGGTTCACAACACTCCCACAGGTATTCTAGAGATGGTGAGGTGGCCAAGAGCACAGAGTCTGGAGCTACGCGTTGTACATTTACGTACCCGCTAATAATGAGCTGTATGCTCTCACACAAGTTACCACGTCTCTGTGCTTCAGTTTGCACTATATTTAACTGATGCTTTGACTGGCTGTGGCAGATGTAAAGGTCTGCAGGTACAGAGAAACTCTGTACAACATCACCCCACACAGACTCAGTCATCAAAGCAGTCATGGCTGCCCCACAGATATGTCTCCACGTCACTCCACGTTGCCAGTCTCCAATCCCTATTCCTCATACCCAGTGATTATCACTTAATACACCCACCTGGTTCTTAGATGAACACAGGAGGTAACCCCGCCTAAGAGAGTCTGGTGTCTAGAGGGCATGTCTTTTTAGCCCAGGGGGAGTGCTTCTTGTCATTGCTGCAGGGGGTGTCCCATGAAACATCCTCTCCAACAAGAGATCAGCAGCTCCTTCTGCATCGCTGTCAGGCTTTTAGACTCACTTCTCCCTTCACCAGGTGAGCTCTTGGTATCTGACTTAAAAGATTGAGAGCCTAGAATCTTTCAGCCTTTCCCAGAAGGGCACAGGATAGAAATGCAAATTAGGATATACACTGGAAAGGAAGAAGTTAAAGTGTCTTTTTTTTTTTTTTTTTTAAGATTTTATTTGTCAGAGAGAGAGCAAGAGCACAAGCAGGGGGACCGGCAGGCAGAGGAAGAAGCAGGCTCCCCACTGAACAGGGAGCCTGATGCA